CTTTTCTATAGAAAAGTTGTTGGAAAACTCAACTACTTTTCTATAGAAAAGTTGTTGGAAATCTCAATAGTTTTCTATAGAAAAGTTGTTGAGAACTTTTACTACTTTTCTTATTAGGAACCTTAACTATAGAAAAGTTCAGTAGAGAATCAGTTTCTTTGCTATAAAAAAGTTGTTCACCATGTTACTAAACAAGTCGAGAACATGTTGCTTAACAAATATGTATTAGAAATGTTGCTGAAGATGCTAAAGGTATTTGAAAAATTTTTGCAAATCGCAAAATTCTTTCATTTAATTTTCAAAAAATTTCCATTATTTTATCTACTTCATTTTAATTCTTTCATGTATTAAAACAAAAATAAAAAGAAATCTTTAAGACAATACCAGTTATTAAGTAAAACCAGGCCTTATTTTAATAACACTTTAAACTCCTTAAAGTATAGCGCGTTGTGTCCTTGGTATTTGTTTATGTATTTTATTTTATTACATTTTATTATCAAATTGTTGTGAGTTTTTATTACTAAAGCGTTACAAAGAAATAAAAAACCAAGACGACTTTGGAACGTAGAAAACGTAATTTAATGGGCATTTTATTAAACTTATTACAACTGACATACAGACAGACAGACAAACTGACTGACAGACAGACAGAGTTAACAGCAAATGACTAAGTGAATGTTTGTCTTTAGGTGGCTAAAGAAAAAAAAAAGAGTGAGTTAGTAGAGCAACAAATAAAATCTTATTACATGTTGCCACAATTTATATACATAAGTATATTTATATGGTTTTTATTTCTCTGTTGTATATAAAGCAACAGTTACGCCTAAATGTATACTATACATTTTCTTTTTTTTTGTTGGTTGTTATATAAATTTACGCACTGTGTGTTGTGAGTATAACAACATAAATTTAATATCAATGCCAATAAATTTGTTCACAAGCCAACTGTCAGCACATAAAGTAGAAAAAGTTATTTACTCTTTTATAAAAATGAAAATAAAACGAAATATTAAGTAAATATTATAGGTTAAAACAAAAAATAGCAAAAAGAAAAATAGGAAAAATTCTACTTTTAAAACGCCTTCTTGGCTGCCACCCACGTTTTTGGTTTATTTTTTTAGAGACTTAAAATTTGTTTGTTGAAAAGTCTTTAATTTTTTCTATATTATCTTAAGGCAGCCTTCTTTTTCCCAGAGATTTTTTTGCCTTAAGAATTTTTATTACTGTTCAAGCTAATTTGAATTTGTGGTTTTTCTTTTAGAAAATCCTTTAAAAAAAAACTTTTTGAAAACAAAATCCTTTTTTTCTTTGGTTAAAAGAAAAAAATCTATATAAAAGTTGTTTTCAACAACAAATTTTCTTGTCGGTGTTTTTTATGATTATTTTGTATTCTGTCTAATGTCTGAAAAATCGATAAATCATGTTTAACATTAACAAGGACCTTAACCAATATACTTTTAGATACCGACAAACACATATATACATAGATTTTAAATTTACTCTCTCTTAAACAATACAAGTGGTTACTTGTAGTAACACGCTAGTTGACTGACAAACTGTATTTTAATGATGGGGGAACAAAAATTGGTTAAAGAGCTTTAGAGTGCCAGAGATAGAAGGGTACTAGTCCTCTAACTGATGATGAGGATGTTGTGCAGAAAGATGAATATGAAAACTACAAAGTGAAAATTTTTAGGGAAAAGAAAATTTGAAGGAAAAAAGTATTTAAGTAAACGTTTTTTTCTATTTTACCCTTTTTTATAGGGAAACTAACAACACAATAAACAAAAGTTTTTAAAATTATTAAAATATATAAATAGAAACAATGTAAACTTTACAAAAATTGCTGACATTAAAAACAACAACAATTACAAACATATACTATAGATTCTCAGTAGACATTCTCATACACTTAAGCATATTCCATAGAACTTTTCTATAGAAAAGAAGAAGACTAATTCATTAACTTTTCTATAGAAAAAAGTCTATAGTCTAGTCTATAGTCTAGTCTATAGTCTAGTCTATAGTCTAGTCTATAGTCTAGTCTATAGTCTAGTCTATAGTCTAGTCTATAGTCTAGTCTATAGTCTAGTCTATAGTCTAGTCTATAGTCTAGTCTATAGTCTAGTCTATAGTCTAGTCTATAGTCTAGTCTATAGTCTAGTCTATAGTCTAGTCTATAGTCTAGTCTATAGTCTAGTCTATAGTCTAGTCTATAGTCTAGTCTATAGTCTAGTCTATAGTCTAGTCTATAGTCTAGTCTATAGTCTAGTCTATAGTCTAGTCTATAGTCTAGTCTATAGTCTAGTCTATAGTCTAGTCTAGTCTAGTAGTCTAGTCTATAGTCTAGTCTATAGTCTAGTCTATAGTCTAGTCTATAGTCTAGTCTATAGTCTAGTCTATAGTCTAGTCTAGTCTATAGTCTAGTCATAGTCTAGTCTATAGTCTAGTCTATAGTCTAGTCTATAGTCTAGTCCTATAGTCTAGTCTATAGTCTAGTCTATAGTCTAGTCTATAGTCTAGTCTATAGTCTAGTCTATAGTCTAGTCTATAGTCTAGTCTATAGTCTAGTCTATAGTCTAGTCTATAGTCTAGTCTATAGTATAGTCTATAGTTAGTCTATAGTTAGTCTATAGTCTGTCTATAGTCTAGTCTATAGTCTAGTCTATAGTCTAGTCTATAGTCTAGTCTATAGTCTAGTCTAATGGTCTAGTCTATAGTCTAGTCTATAGTCTAGTCTATGTCGTAGTCTATAGTCTAGTCTATAGTCTAGTCTATAGTCTAGTCTATAGTCTAGTCTATAGTCTAGTCTATAGTCTAGTCTATAGTCTAGTCTATAGTCTAGTCTATAGTCTAGTCTATAGTCTAGTTTATAGTCTAGTCTCTTGTCTAGTCTATAGTCTAGTATATAGCCTAGTCTATAGTCTAGTCTATAATCTAGTCTAGTCTATAGAGTTTATAGTCTAGTCTATAGTCTAGTCTGTAGTCTAGTCTATAGTCTAGTCTATAGTCTAGTCTATAGTCTAGTATATAGTCTACTCTATAGTCTAGTCTATAGTCTAGTCTATAGTCTAGTCTATAGTCTAGTCTATAGTCTAGTCTATAGTCTAGTCTATAGTCTAGTCTATAGTCTAGTCTATAGTCTAGTCTATAGTCTAGTCTATAGTCTAGTCTATAGTCTAGTCTATAGTCTAGTCTATAGTCTAGTCTATAGTCTAGTCTATAGTCTAGTCTATAGTCTAGTCTATAGTCTAGTCTATAGTCTAGTCTATAGTCTATAGTCTAGTCTATAGTCTAGTCTATAGTCTAGTCTATAGTCTAGTCTATAGTCTAGTCTATAGTCTAGTCTATAGTCTAGTCTATAGTCTAGTCTATAGTCTAGTCTATAGTCTAGTCTATAGTCTAGTCTATAGTCTAGTCTATAGTCTAGTCTATAGTCTAGTCTATCTAGTCAATAGTCTAGTCTATAGTCTAGTCTATAGTCTAGTCTATAGTCTAGTCTATAGTCTAGTATTTAGTCTAGTCTATAGTCTAGTATTTAGTCTAGTCTATAGTCTAGTCTATAGTCTAGTTTATAGTCTAGTCTATAGTCTGGTCTATAGTCTAGTTTATAGTCTAGTATCTTGTCTAGTCTATAGTCTAGTATATAGCCTAGTCTATAGTCTAGTCTATAGTCTAGTATATAGTCTAGTCTATAGTCTGGTCTGTAGTCTAGTCGATAGTCTAGGCTATAGTCTATATTCTAGTCTATAGTCTAGTCTATAGTCTAGTCTATAGTCTAGTCTATAGTCTAGAATATAGTCTAGTCTATGGTCTAGTCTATAGTCTACTCTATAGTCTACTCTATAGTCTAGTCTAATCTAGTCTATAGTGTAATTGTCATAATCTTTTCTATTGAAGAGTTGTTAATGTTGTTCTCAACTTTTCTATACAAAGGTCGTTGATATTATCATCAACTTTTCTTTGAACATGTTGCTGTTTTTTCGCTTTACAACAAGTTGCTAATGGTCCCATAATATTATCTAGAGAATTTTGTTTTAACTTTTTCTTTAAGTGTAAAATTTAATTTCTAATTTCTTTATTGATATTTACAATACGAAATGCTTTATTTATTTTCCTTCTTTTTTTTGCGTCCTTCCTGCTATTGTCTTCCGCTCTCTATACAAAAGGTTAACTATCCTAGTGACACACATCCTTTTGTATTCACAATGATGTTTTTTTTCTTTCGTTGTTGTAGATTCACTAACGAAACTTTCTATGCGTAAGGAAGGAAAAAAAATAAATATAATATAGACAAAAATAAAAGAAGTTGTTTTTTTTTGCACTGTTAACTTAAAACGAAGCATATTAACAAGGATATTTAGTAGAAAAAATAAAAAAACAAAAACTGGTGCGTATTCTGGAACTATGGATTGACATTAGCACGTTCTATTTGACGTCCAGTCGTGCGTTTTTTGGTTTATTGTAGGGAGGAAGTTTATATGTAACAGTGAAAGCGACTAAAAGTGAGACAGTTGGTTGGTATGTTATTTAGTTTGAAATTAAAATAAAAGATAAGATTTAATCTTTAAAGATGTTTACAGAAAGATTAAAGTTTTAAGGGGTTTTGTAAGGGAAAAGGAGTCAAAGGATATAAAAATTTAATTATTTTAAAAACAAACTAAAAACACTTTAATTTGTTAAAACATTTTGCCCTTAGAAAAGGAATTTGATTTAGAAAATATTGATTTTTTCTTGTGATTTTTTTTTATTGAGAAAAAGAAAAAAGTTTCCTTTTTTTATATGAAAGCAGCACAGTGATACATTTTGTACATATTTACTTGTAATGTGTTTTTAAATAAAGCTTTAAATCAGTTTCAGTACATAAGCCGGTTTTTTGTTGTTTTGTTATTTATTGAAAATTGTTGCTTCTGATGTGAAAATAACAACAATATTAACATAAAAATACTCATAAACACAAACTCCTTAAACAAATGATACACACACACACACTCTCGCTCTCTTACTCACACTCAATTTTATTGAAAAGAACAAAAACAAAATATGCGTAAGTTTTCTATGAACAAAAAACTCAACGCATTTTTTTTAGCCCCCCTATAAAAAAAACCAAAGAGAGTTAACGAAACCAGAGAGAGAGCAAGCTTAGTAAAAAATACTCTTGTTTTTAATAACTCTCTACAAAATAGCAGACAGCGAAAACCAAACACATGTTTTTGTTTGTGTTTTTTCCTCTACTCTTTTGCTAGCTGCTCCTTCTGGTTTTTGGCAAGCTGCTGCATGTTTGTGTTTACATTTCGAAAATAGCGGCAAATTGATTCATATTCACAATAATTACATATTGATGTTGTTGAAATTTTTTAAAATTGATTGGAATTTTGCAAACACCGTCAGTATAATTTCTCCTCTTTAATGGAATGTTGCTGTTAATTTTACCCAAAACGAACAATATATTTCAACTAAAAGCTAAATAAATAACGAAAATTTGAAAACAAAAAGGAAATGTGATAAAATAGAAAAAATTTTTTATAAAATAAAAAAAAAGAAAAATAAATAAAACTAAAGTTATAGCGGGTGGGTGTTAATGTTTACTTTAAAATTGTGAATTGTGTGTGAAAAAAATTTCAAATAAAAAAAAGAAAAAATAATATCAAAATCAAAAGGTATGGAATACGCAAAACATCAACTACAACAACTAAATATGGTGAGTATTATTTTTGCTTACATTCTAACAGATTGTTGTTAATGATTTCTTCTAACATCGTAATAAATATGTAATCAATCAATCAAAAAATTGTACGGAAAAATTGTCAATTATTTAATAGCACGAAAAAAAATTTTGAACAGCGGCAGATTGTTTAGATTAAAATCAGTGTTAATATTTTGAGGGATTTTCTTAAAAATCATCAAAAGTCTAAAGTTCAAACAATAATGGTTAATAATTATGTTTTAATAAAAAAATAAATAAAATAAAATAAAATAAATACTTATACTACTCCTACATTCAAAAAATTCTCTATAAAAAATATAAAAATTTTACAATAGTAATATAGCTGAGATTCTCAGCAAAATTGTCTATGGAAATGTTGCCAAGAATCTCTGAAACATTTGCTAAGTGTCTCAGCAGCTTTAATACTGAAACGCCATAGAGAAACTAAGCAAAATGTTCATAGAAGTATTACTGAGAGTTTAAGCAACTTTTCTATAGAAAGAATGCTAATTTTCTATAGATTATCATCCAATTTTATATAGAGAAGAAAATGAGATTCTTATCAAAAAAGATGAAGATATAATTGTCTTGAAATTTTTTGAAAGAAAATTATATTAGTTTCATACCAAGAAGATAAGTTTCTCATTACTTTTCTATAGAAAAGAAGATTACTTTCTCCTCAAATTCTCTGTAGCAAAGAAAATGAGTTTTCATCACTTTTCTATAAAAAAGAAGATGAGTAAGTTTCTTAGCAAGTTTTCTGTAGAAAAGAAGATGAGATTCTCATCAACTTTTCTATGGAGAAGAAAACGAGTTTTTATCACTTTTCTATGGAAAAGAAGATGAGTTTCTCATCAACTTTTCTAAAGTCCAAAAAAGCGATTCTCATCAACTTTTCTATAGAAAAGAAGATGACACTCTCATTAACTTTTCTATAGAAAAGAAGAAGAGATTCTCATAAACTTTTCTTTAGCAAAGAAGATGAGATTCTCATAAACTTACCTTTAGAAAAGAAGATGAGATTCTCATCAACATTTCTATAGAAAAGAAGATGAGATTGTCATAAACTTTTCTATAGAAAAGAAGATGAGATTCTCATCAAATCTTCTATAGAAAAGAGGGTGAGATTCTAATCAACTCTTCTATAGAAAAGAAGGTGAGATTCTCTTCAGATTCTCTATAGAAAAGAAAATGAGATTGTTATTAACTTTTGTGCAGAAAAGAAGACAACTTTTATACAGAAAAGAAGTCGAGATTCTCATCAACATTTAAGAAGACGACATTCTCATCAACTTTTCTATAGAAAAGAAGACGAGAATCTTATCAACTTTTCTATAGGAAAGAAGATGAGATTCTTTTCAACTTATCTATAGAAAAGAAGATGAGATTCTAATCAAGTTTTCTATAGAAAAGAATGTGAAATTCTTATCAACTTTTCTATGGAAAAGAATATGATAATCTCATCAACTTTTCTATAGAAAAGAAGACGAGATTCTTATCAACTTTTCTTTAGAAAAGAAGATGAGGTTCTCATCAAGACTAGATTCTCATCTATAGAAGAGAAAATAAGATTCTCTTCAACTTTTCTATAGAAAAGAAGATGACATTCTTATTAACTTATCAAGATGAGATTCTCATCAACTTTTCTATAGAAAAGAAGATGAGATTCTCATCTTTTCAATAGAAAATAATGAGAATGTCATCTTCTATCCTATAGAAAAGAAGATGAGATTCTCATCAACTTTTCTATAGAAAAGAAGATGAGATTCTCATCAACTTTTCTATAGAAAAGAAGATGAGATTCTCATCAACTTTTCTATAGAAAAGAAGATGAGATTCTCATCAACTTTTCTATAGGATAGAAGATGACATTCTCATCATTTTCTATAAAAAAGAATATGATATTCTCATCAACTTTTCTATTGAAAAGAAAACGAGATTCTCATCAACTTTTCTATAGAAAAGTAGATGCGATTCTCAGTCCTCTCTAAAAAAGAAGATGAGATTCTCATCATCTTTTCTATAGAAAGGAAGATGAGATTCTCATCAACTTCTCTATAGAAAATAATATGAGATTCTTATCAACTTTTCCATAGAAAAGAACATGAGATTTTCATCAACTATTTTATACGAAAGGAGATGAGTTTCTCATCAATTTTTCTATAGAAAAGAAGATAAGATTCTCATCAACTTTTCTACAGAAGAGAAGATAAGATTCTCTTTAACTTTTCTATAGAAAAGATGATGAGATTCTTATCAACTTTTCTATAGAAGAGAAGATGAGATTCTCATTAACTTTTCTATAGGAAAGAATGTGAGGTTCTCATCAACTTTTATATAGAAAAGAATATAAGATTCTCGATAGCTTTTCTATAGAAAAGAAGATAAGATTCGTTTCAACTTCAAAGAATATGAGATTCTAATCAACTTTTCTATAGAAAAGAAGATGAGATTCTCGTCAACTTTTCTTTAGAAAAAAAGATAATATTCTCATCAACTTTTCTATAGAAGAGAACTTTCCTATAGAACAGAATACGAGATTCTATCAACTTTTCTATAGAAAAGAAGATGACATTCTCATCGACTTTTCTATAGAAAAGTAGATGAGATTCTCTTTAAATTTTTTATGGAAATGAAAATAAGTTTTACGGTTTCTCATACCCTTTTCTACAGAAGAGATTGTGGAACACTTTATTGAAAAATTTCTTTGATCCACTTCAATCCATTATTTTCTTCTCAATTAATTTCACTTTATTTAGTGCATCCTTTTTCTCAATAGTAAATTATATCCTTTTTGATTGTTTAGTTTTTCTCATAGTTTTTTTTTTTTATTAATTCAATGTGTACAACATTTTATTTTTAAATTAATTTAATTTATTTATTTAATTTTGTTTTCTAAATAACAATTTAATAAAAATGTTAGTAATGCCAACCTTCTTTCTGTGTTATTTTGTTGTCGTAGTTGTTTTTCAACTTTTCTTTTTTGTTTTTGCACTTTGTGGCAAATTTCCTTTTGCTCTGGTTTTTGTTGTTGGTTCATTCAGTTGTAGTTGTAATGTTTTTCTTTTCAACAAAAAAAAAGAAAAACAACTAAATGAAAAATAAAACTATTGCCATTTCTTTCTAACACACACAAAAAGCCAAAAGGTACTCTTTTAATTTTATCAAAAAGAAAAACAACAACTATAACAGAACGATGAAAAGCAGAAGACCGAACACATGCAAAAAGGAAGAAGCAAATCAAAAAAGTACGGAACAAAAAGAAAAAAACAACAATAATATCAAAAAGTATACTAACATACAATATAAACAACAACGACTACTAGCATGATAAACAACAACAACAACAACAAAAACTACTACAATAATAATAACAACAGAGAAAATTTAACTATAACAGAGATTCATTTTTACGGGTTCATAACACCACCGAACAGCAACAACAACAAAAATTAGAATAACACAATTACAACTACATACAACTACGACTAAGTTAAACAACAACGAACTACGACGACAACAACGAACAACAACGACACCGACTGACGACGATTCAATGAAAATTCTACTACAACTCACATGTATGTGAGACTGGAAAATTCTCTTCTTCTTCATCTATTGCTGGAGCATGTTGTTGTTTTCATTTTTATTATTTTGTTATTTGTATTTTTCCTCCGAAATTCTACAAGTTAGTTTGTCTGTAACATGTTGGGTGTCGTGTGAGTGATTGTACATGAATGTTGCATTGTGCAAGCACAAGAGAATTAGCGAATATTTTCCAACAATTTTCCTTTTAGAAAATTTGTGTACGAGTGGGTGAATGCGTCTGCCTGTTGTTTGATGCATGCTCCAGCAACAAAAATTCTCAACGGCCTCCTCACATCATTAGTTAGTTGTATGATTATCAAGTTGTGTAGTGTCTTAGTAAGGGTTTGTTTGATTGTCAGCTGTTTTTCAGGTTTTTCTTTTTGTTTTTGTTAAACAGGGATGAAAAATGTTTCTCATAGGAAGTGTACCCAAATAGTACTTTCTGCTGAAGAATTGTATTTAACAAACTTGTTTTGAAAATTATTGAAATTTATTACCGGCATCGTTTAGAGCACGTGGCATAAAAATATTTTTGCTTAATGACTTCTCACTTTAGTGAGATCAAATAAAAAAATGTTAAAAAGTTTCTCAACAAAATATTTTATATTCTATAGAAAAGTTGATGAGAAACTCACCTTCTTTTCTATAGAAAAGTTGATAAGAAACTCATCCTCTTTTCTATAGAAAATTCGATGAGAAACTAATTTTTTTCTATAGAAAAGTTTATTAGAATCTCTTTTTATTTTCTACAGAAAAGTTGATGAGAATCTCATCTTTTTTTCTACAGAAAAGTTAATGAGAAACTCACCTGCTTTTCTGTAGAAAAATTGGTGAGAAATTCACCTTCTCTTCTTTTCTATAGAAAAGTTGATGAGAATCTCATCTTCTTTTCTATGGAAAAGTTGATGAAAATCTCATCTTCTCTTCTATAGAAAAGATGATGAGAATCTCATCTTCTCTTCTATAGAAAAGTTGATGAGAATTTTACCACCTTTTCTATAGAAAAGTTGATGAGAAACTGATCTTTTTTTCTATAGAAAAGTTGATGACAAACTCATCCTCTTTTCTATAGAAAAGTTAATGAGAAACTAATTTTTTTCTATAGAAAAGTTTATTAGGATCTCTTTTTTATTTTCTACAGAAAAGTTGATGAGAATCTCATCTTCTTTTCTACAGAAAAGTTAATGAGAAACTCACCTGCTTTTCTGTAGAAAAATTGATAAGAAACTCACCTTCTCTTCTTTTCTATAGAAAATTTGATGAAAATCTCATCTTCTTTTCTATGGAAAAGTTGATGAGAATCTCATCTTCTCTTCTATTGAATAGTTGATGAGAATCTCATCTTCTCTTCTATAGAAAAGTTGATGAGAATCTTACCACCTTTTCTATAGAAAAGTTAATGAGAAACTGATCTTCTTTTCTATAGAAAAGTTGATGAGAAACTCATCCTGTTTTCTATAGAAAAGTTAATGAGAAATTCATCCTCTTTTCTATAGAAAAGTTAATGAGAAACTCATATTCTTTTCTATAGAAAAGTTGATGAGAGACTCATCTTTTTTTCTATAGAAAAGTTGATGGGAAACTCATCTTCTGTTTTATAGAAAAGTTGATGACAAAATCATCTTTTTTTCTATAGCAAAGTTGAGGAAAATCTCATCTTCTTTTCTATAGAAAAGTTGATGAGAATCTTATCTTCTTTTCTATAGAATAGTTGATGAGAAACTCAACTTCTTTTATATGGAATAGTTGGTGAGAATCTCATCTTCTTTTCTATTGAATAGTTGGTGAGAATCTCATCTTCTTTTCTATAGAATAGTTGATGAGAATCTCATCTTCTTTTCTATAGAGTAGTTGATGAGAATCCCATCTTTTTTTCTATAGCAAAGTTGAGTAAAATCTCATCTTCTTTTCTATAGAAAAGTTGATGAGAATCTTATCTTCTTTTCTATAGAATTGTTGATGAGAAACTCAACTTCTTTTATATGGAATAGTTGATGAGAATCTCATCTTCTTTTCTATTGAACAGTTGATGAGAATCTCATCTTCTCCTCTATAGAATAGTTGATGAGAATCTCATCTTCTTTTCTATTGAACAGTTGATGAGAATCTCATCTTCTCCTCTATAGAATAGTTGATGAGAATCTCATCTTCTTTTCTATAGAATAGTTGATGAGAATCCCATCTTCTTTTTTATAGAAAAGTTGGTGAGAATCTCATCTTCTTTTCTATAGAAAACTTGATGAGAATCTTATCTTCTTTTCTATAGAAACGTTGACGAGAGTCTCACCTTTTTTCTATAGAAAAGATGATAAGAATTTAATCTTCTTTTCTACAGAAAAGTTAATGAGAAACTCACCTGCTTTTCTGTAGAAAAATTGATGAGAAACTCACCTTCTCTTCTTTTCTATAGAAAAGCTGATGAAAATCTCATCTTCTCTTCTATAGAAAAGTTGATAAGAATCTCATCTTCTCTTCTATAGAAAAGTTGATGAGAATCTCATCTTCTTTTCTATAGGAAAGTTGATGAGAATCTCATCTTCTTTTCTATAGGAAAGTTGATGAGAATCTCATCTTCTTTTCTATAGGAAAGTTGATGAGAATCTCATCTTCTTTTCTATAGAAAAGTTGATGAGAATTTCGTCTTCTTTTTATAGAAAAGTTGATGAGAATTTCATCTTCTTTTCTATAGAAAAGTTGATGAGAATCTCATCTTCTTTTCTATAGAAAAGTTGATGAGAATCTCATCTTCTTTTCTATAGAAAAGTTGATGAGAATCTCATCTTCTTTTCTATAGAAAAGTTGATGAGAATCTTGTCTTCTTTTCTATAGAAAAGTTGATGAGAATCTCATCTTCTTTTCTATAGAAAAGTTGATGAGAATCTCATCTTCTTTTCTATAGAAAAGTTGATTCCTCTTCTTTTCTATAGAAAAGTTAGGAGAATCTTATCTTCTTTTCTATAGAAAAGTTGTTGGTAATTTCTTCTGTAGGAAACTTTAGTTTGAAACTTTTCCTTGGAAAAGAAACAAACTTCCAACAAAAATACTTTAGGAGTTGTTCATCATACTTTCAGACTTAATGTTATTGCTCTATTAAATTAATAAATATCTTATCAGTTTTTCCTGATAGCATGATTTATTCCCTTAAAAAAATAAAGTACTTTTCATTCATCAACCCCTTTTATTTTTATACACATGATGATGATGATTATCATGATGTAAGTGATGTTGTAAACATTAAGGGGTTTGTATGATTAACAAATGTTGTAAAGTAAAGCCTAACAAAGCAACATCAATAACAACATGTTTGATAGGATTTTCCTTAACATAAACGAACTAGTTGTTATTACTGTAACAACAATTCGTTAGTTTTTTTATTCGTTTGTAAAAGAAAATTTTTGCGAAAATTATTCGTTCGTTTTTGCTTTTACGCTCTAAAACGTTTTATGCTCTCGTTATTTGGCTAGAGGTTCGTTAGTTCGTTTTTGTATACTCGCTGGCTGAATCGTTTGTTTGATTTAATTTTGGTTGGATTTTTGTGTTGTGTTGGGTTGTGTGTTGTTGGCTTTAGCTGTAGATGACTGGTTGGTTGGCTTGGCTGGTTGGTTGGCTGCTATTTCTACTGCTGCTCGCTGCTGGCATGTCTGTGTCTATTTGTGTATAACAACAACTCAACTGGACGACTGACGACTGGCTTTTTCAGTGTTTTTCTTGTTAGAGTTTGCCGTCCTTTTTCAGTATGAAATTGAGTTTTGTGTAGTTAAGTCAGCAAAAGTTTCCGTATATAATTATAAATTCTTAAACATTTTCAACAAACGTGTGAGAATTACAAAAAAAAAAATTAAATAAATTTTCCAATTATAAAATATATTTAATATTAAAACAAAAACAACAACATCAAAAGTTTTTTTCAAATCTTAACAAAAAAACAAATTTAATTAAAATTAATGAAAATATTATTAAAATAAAGTAAAAATATTGTTTAAATATTTAAGTATTAAATATAAAAATATAATTAACAAGCAGTAAATTAAATTTATAACAAAACAAAAAATCAAACTTTAAAAAGTAAATTTAAGATAATTAAATAAAAATTAAAGTGTAAAACTATTTATTATGAAAACAAATTAAAATTACCAAAAATTATTATTAAACTTAATTATAAAAATAAATAAAATAATTTAAATTTAATAAAAAAAAACCTCAACATCAAACAAAAACAAACAAAACAACCTTTTAAACAAATAACGGTATTTACTGATTCAAACCTATTTGAAAACATTTTAGAATTATTTCACATTTTAAGTTATTTTTAACAATTGTTAATTGTTGTTGTTGCTATTGTTTTCAATTATAAACAACAAATCAATTGAATTAAACAACAATAATAAACATTTTTTTTTAGGATTTTTTTTAATATAAACAACAATTTTTCGTTTTTCACTTCAAATGTTTTTTTAAATCTTTAGTTTTTTTTTATAAATTTTAAAATTATTTTATTGCTTTACTAAACTTACTCATAGATTTTTCTTGAATTTTTTTTGTGAGTTTAAACATTTGAAATTGAAAATGTGTTTACAAAAAAAAAGTGTTCTTGTGTTTATATTTTAAATTGTGAGCGAGTGTGTATGTGTGCGTTCAAAAATTTCAATTGTTTATTTAAATTAAAGAATATGTTTGGTTTTTGAAACGTATTTGGAAAAATTTTATTTTAATAGATTTTCTTTTGTTTACTTTATTATTTCATCTTATTGTGCGGGAGAAAAAATCTTGCTTTTCTTTTGTATAAAAATCTTTGGGTAGAAAAAAATTTATGTTTTTGTTAATGGATTGAAGGTAAATGTTTAATTAAATGAAAATTTTGTTCCAAATGAAGCTTAGAGAAAAGAAATAGCATTCAAAATTTGTTTTGTAATCATACAAGTGTAATAAGAATTCAAAATTGTTCACAAAAAGTTAACATATGTTAAGGCTTTTAAGCAATTTTCCCTTAAAAAGTTTTTTAAAGTTGAAGTAAACCTGTTAAAGTTACTTGAAATGTAAAGGAATTTTGTTTTAAATAAGTTATAAAAAGTCCACAAGCCAAACGTATGCTTAGAACTCTTAGAACTTAGAAAAAATGTAGTCTACTTTTAGGCAGAAAAGAAAAATAACTTAAATACTATGAATTCGTAAAGAGCTAAAAGTTATTTAAAGGAATTAAAGGAAAAAGACTTTTGCTTGAAAATCCCACATCAACAACTTGAAAAGTGTAGTCGACTTTTAGGCATAATAAAAGTACGACTTAAATATAACAAATTCTTGAAGAGTTTTCAAGAAAACTTCTATTTAACGGAAATAAGATACAAATTATAAAAAACCCAAAATCAAACTTCAGTTTGAAACCCGAACTTAAACATTTAAAGATATACTTCAGAAATGTAGTTTACTGTTAGGCGTAATATAAACATGATTTCAAATTTATTATTTACTGAAGAATTTTCACAAATTTTTTCAAGCATTTTTGTTTAAATAAGCATTTATTACAAAAATTTTACTATTTAAATGTATTTTTTTAATTTTTGAACTTTTTTCAAAAAGTGTAGCATGCTTTTAGGATTTTTAGGCTCTTTAGTTAAAAATGTATGAAAAATTTTAATAACATCTTCAATAATTTATAGAAATACAAAAATAGCAACATTTTCCATTTTTTAACTGATATTGTCTTTAAAATTTGAGAAATTTTTGAAAAAATTCTAGCATACTTTTAGGTTTATTAGATTATTTAGTCAGTTGTAGGATAATATAACTAAAATCATAAACATTTTGTAATAATACAAACAGAAAGGTAAAAAATGATTCACATAATCAGTACACAAACATTATTTTAAGAATTAAGAAAATGTGAAAAAAACTTGGCATAATTTTAGGCCAATTTTAGAGTTAGCAAAATATAGAATGTTTAAATTGTAGAAATTCCTTAAAAGTTTTAGTATTTTAGTATTTAGTCTTTAGTATTTTAGTCTTTTCAAAATCATAATTTTAAGGAGTTTTTATATGTTTTCAAAAAACATTGCCTACTTTTAGGCCTTTTTGCTGAAAATTAACAAATTTTACAAAATTTTAAATAGTTTTAATAAATAATGCAACTAATCAATAAAATTTTTATAACTTTAATTCGAAATTAAAAAAATTAAAACAACTAGTTTAGTTTTAGGCTTTTAGTAAAATGACTTCGATTTCATTGAAATTCTTTAAAAGTTTTAGTAAATTAAATAGTATTATGAAAACTAATAAAGGGGTCTTTTTACAACAATTACAATTCTTCTTTAAACTAAACTTTATCTTATAAACATTGCATACTTTTAGTTGCTGCACAGAAAATTTTATAAAAACTTCAATAAATTTAGTATTGTTTTTCAAACACTGGTGATCTTTATAAAATAATAATTACTTTTTGCAATTCCAGACCAAAATTGCAATAAAATATTTTAAATTTTGAATTTTTAATCAAATGAAGATATTTTTGAAAAATATGGTATAGTTTTAGGCTTTTTAAAGAAAAATCGTAAATGCAAACTAAGCCCTAAAGCCTTGTAGTAGGATTTGCTTCACAAATCTTTAAAAATTATAGAAATATTGCTTTAGATAAGTTTTCTCTTCATTTCTTTTTAGTTTTTCTTAATAATATAGCATAGTTTATGGCTTTTTGGTAGGGAAAATTTAAAATTAACAAAATATGTTAATGAACAATAAAAATTGAAACAGAAGTTGCTATGAAAGCATAATACATAAGAAATCTTTAGTTTTTAGTAAAAAAATATGTAGCCTACTATAGGGCTTATATAAAATACTTAAATTTAAAAGTAAAAGGTTGCATACTTTTAGGCTTTTAATAAACATTTTAAGCTTAAACTTGCTTTTAGTAAGCAAGAAGTAAAAATTAAACATTTAGACTCTTAAAAGCAATTAGATTTAGTAAGAAGACAAAAGCTTAGGTGTTTAAGTATTAGTTAGTGTTAAAAAACTCCGCCCAAGTTGAGCAGGAAGCGGGCAAATTATGAAAGACTTGTTTTATGACATACTAACTATAATTCACTCTAATTCACAGCTTAGGTTTCTACTTAAATAAAATATTTAAAACATTTTCATCAATAACACTAATCGGCACACATTTAGCTAAAATGATAGCATAGTTTTAGGAGCGTAGATAAAATGTGGATATTTTTAATTTAAATTAGAAAGTTATCAGCTTGTTTTTTGTGACCCAGTAGGTTCAAGATAAATAAAAATAAATATTCTTTGTCCGTCCTTCTGTCTTTCGAAAGTGTGATAGGAGTCAAGCAAAAAGGGCTAGAGAGCCTTAAATTGTTACAAATATTCTTAAGTATTGGTTTTAGGCCTATAGAAGTTGATTTATTATAGATTCTTATTGGATTCTAAGACCATCTAGCCATGTCCGTCCATCTGTTTGTTGAAAGTACAATAGGAGCCAAGAGAACAAGGGGCAAGAGAGCAAACACTCTTCAATATTAGCCTTTACTCTTTAATATTGGTCTTATAAGCTTCTAGACCGATCTAGTCTTGTCCCTACTTCTGTCTTTTGAAATCGCGATAGGAGTCAAACTAACAGGGCTAGAGAACTCTAAATAGTTACACTAACCTATAATTTTGGTCTGAGGTTTACAAAAGTATATTTATTCTGGTTTTTTATTAGATTTTAAAATTATCTAGCCATGTCCGTCCTTCTGTCTGTTGAAAGCTTAATAGGAGCCTAACTTGAGGGGGAAAGAGAGCAAATACTCTTTAATATTAGCCTTAGATCTACAAAGGAACATTTATTCTGTGTTTATAGTAGTGGTACGATCCCAACATGTCCGTCTGTCTATTGATAACAAGATAAGAGCCAAACTGAAAGAACTATAAAGATGAAAATTTCTAGAAGTAAGTTTGTTAAGTTTGATTCTTATTCATTAGAAATTCCATTTAAATCCCACATTTTTTTTCCAGAAAATTCCTTTAACAAAACTCATTAGCATATCAACATGAATTTTCTTTAATATGAAAAACATGTCTACATTCTTAAAAAAAATACTCAAAACACTTTTAATTTTTATTATAAATATTCTTTATCATAAATAAGCTTTATATATTTAAACAAATTATTGTTTTTTCTTTAATTTTCAATTATAAACTTTTGTTGCTTTATAATTTAAATCAATCACTGTACGAAACATTTTCCCAAAAAAAAAAAAATAAATTCAATTTATAATAAAACGCCTATAATTTTCTTATTCTTCTTTCTTTTCATCTGGCTACTAGCAAAAACAAAAGTGTAAAACGACATCAAAATAAGCTGCAGGCAAATAAAAATTAACGTAAAACCAAAAGTTTAATAAAATAAAGTAAATTTGAACAAATACACCGAGAGAAAACTGAAAATAAATCAAAACTTAAAAATAAAACATCAAAATAAAAACTCAGCTTGAAATTAAAACAAAAGTTACAAAAACTTAAATTTAACAAAAAAAAATTAATTGAAAATTATTTTCTGCAAAAACAAAGTGTTAAAAATTTAAACATTTTTAAAGTGTAAAGTGTTTTAAAGTTAAAAAAAAAATCAAACAACCAGTGTAAAAACCAAATAATCTTCACAAAAAAAAAAATTCCAACAAATATTTTACCAAAAAAGAAAGAATAAAAAGTAATTGTTTATTTTGGCAAACGTTTTAACAACAAATCATTCCATATGGTTCATATTATTGAATTGGTCGGTCAGCCGAAGGTTGAGTTTGCTCAACAAGTTACTGTGAGTATAATTTTTCATATAAAAAATATAAAACCAAAAAAAAGCAAAAATTATTAGCAGACAAACAATCTATATAGAAAATATAAAACACAATAGAGATTTAAAAGCAAAAAACACAAACTACTCCCCCTTCTCCAAAAAAGAAAAAAAAAACACTGACAAAAAAATAATGTAATAAATCTTGTGTTTGTAGTCACGTAATGACAACATAATATGTGACTTTTTGTCTCCCTATAATTTGGTTCTCTTACTCTTTATGAAAAAATATGTATTTTTTTTTTTGTCTCAAATAAAGTTATAAACAAACTATAACCCAATAACATTTTTAACAACAACAGCTTTTTTAGTTTGCTTACAAATTAAGGCCGTAGGAGGGGTGCTCGAGGTGTGAGTGTAAATGTTTATTACAATTTTATGAGTTTGTCTACCGGTTCTTTATTTTGGTATTTATCTTATAGGTCCTCTCTCTCTGTCTCTCTACACACACACACTAACACTGTTAGCATATCCCATGTGTATAAGTTTGCCAAATTTTCCCTTAACCAAGGTTATTTTTTTCACATGCATGTATGTAGTTGTTTTTGTGGTTAATGCTGATAATTAATCATTTCATATATTTTTTGTTTGTTTGTGGAAAAAGAGACATTTTTGGCAAAAATAATGAATAAATTTAGTAATCAAAGTTGAAATAGAAATTAAGTTATTAAAGCATATCGTTAAGGGGCGGTAATATAAGATAAATGTAAGGCATACTTTAAGGGATTTTAAGGAAAATGTTCAATTAAGCAAAATGTATAGAGGTTTTCAAACAATTTTCTTTAAGGAAAAGTCTTATAAAGTTGGTATAGAAATTAAAGCATATCTACAGGAGGGCGATAATGTGAAATAAATTTAAGGTATAGTTTTAGGTATTATATGTTATTAATTAAGGAAAAACAAAGGATTTTGACAGGAATTTTCTTAAAGGAAAGAAAGAGTTTCTAAAATGGAATTGAAATTTAAGTATTAAAGGAGGTTTCAATGGAATTTTTTTAAAGGAAAAGTATTCGTAAGTTGTAATAGAAATTGTATTGCCTATCTACAGGGACAGAAATATGAGCAAAATTAAGGCTTTTTTCTTAAAGAAAATGGGTTTCCATGCTGGGTGTTCCATACGGTTGCATTATTTAGAAGGGTAGTTTGTTTGGGGGCTAAATGAAATCGTGGACTAATATAGAATATCTGTAGAACATTTTAGCTCTCTAATTGCTCTCGTTAAGGCGCTACAGTGCTTTCAAAAGGCAGGCAGATGGACAGACAGTCAGTTAGTTAGATGGACGGACAGACAGTTAAATAGACGTGTCTAGATCGGATGTGGCCAGATCATCTTGTAATCCAAAAAGCAATCATAATATACAAACTTTTTTAGGATATACAATATTCGCTCTAATAAAAACAATGTCCATCTATCCATTTTAGAAAAAATATATTCCAAATGTAAGACTCATTAGTAATGAATGATATGTCAGTTCTTGAACAATTAAAAAAGCTTTACAACATCAGCAATATCCATGTCATAATTCAGTATCAATATTGATCTCCAATTTCTTTTAGACTTGTCCGTTTGTCTGCCTATTTTAAGTTCAAAATTGTCCGTCTTTCCGTTTATATAATAAGATCACATTCCTAAGTTCCAAATGTAAAATTGATTTGCAATAAATGTCATGTCAGTTGTTGCAAAACTCAAAAAGCATTACATTACCAGCCTAAATATCAGCAATATAATTGTCATCATTTAGTATCAATATTGATCGGCAATTTCTTTTAGACATGTCCGTCTTTCTGCCTATTTTAAGATCAAAATTGTCCGTCTTTCCGTTTATACAGTTGTTAAAATACATTCCTATGTTCTAAATGTAAGACTGATTTGTGCAAACAAATCAAATCAACTTTTGCACAAATTCCAATTTACAACATCAGCAGAAGTATCACCAATATCATTGTCATAATTTAGGATCAATATCGCTCATCAAATTCTATTAGACTTGTCCGTCTGTCTGCCTATTTAAGATCAAAATTGCCCGTCATTTCGTGTCAGAACTCAAAAAGTTTTACAATATCAGCAATATCATTATCATAATTTATGATCAATATTATTGATCTGTAATTTCTTTTAGACTTGTCCGTCTGTCTGCCTTTTTTAAGTTCTAAAGAGTCCGTCCTTCCAGTTATATGTTAGAATAATCTTTTTAAACAAAGTATTGCAGCAAATTAAATAATATTCAAAAATTTTCACAATTTGGTTCAGCAATAGAGGCCAAACTAAAAGACCCCAGCTAAAAGAAAAACTCATTCAAAAGATTTATTTTTTAAGAAAAAAAAAAAAAACAATTTTGTTGTAATGAAAGTATGTAGAGAATCTTTATAAAGCTGTAATATCCTCTTTCTTTAGTTGGGTTCTCATTAACATTGAAATTTAATTTAAACCTGTCCGTCTGTCTGCCTATTTAAATGTCTGCCATGTCCATCTTTTCATGTGCATACATTTTCAAAGCCAGAGTAATGGTCACATACTTATATATATATATATAAATTTCCTTTAATATATTTCTTTGGATGTTAAGAAATTTGTGGCTGAAAATCAATAAAATCATTGAAGTAGAAAAATAGTTATAAAACGAAATATGAAAAACAACCTCAAAGAAAATTTTGATATAATTTTCACATTTAAATCTCAACTTTAATAAAGTGAGAGAAGCTATTCGTTTTCCTTGCTTCTGATCTGCTAATTGGAATGAGCGCCGTCCTTCTGTCTGGAATTTTAAAGTTATTTATTTTAGAAGTTAAATTATCAAACTCAGTTTAGAACCTTGGAAATATTCCTTAAGATTTCAATAGACACATTTTTATTTGCAACAAATTACTGTTAATATTTTCTTATAACAACAGCTGTTTTATGAATTCAAAAATCATCTTAATTTACACTAACACAAATAAATATTTATATATATGGATACACAGCTTAAAGTCGCCTAAAAATATGCAAATTATTTCTTTTTTTTAACATGTTTTGTAAACAAAACAAAATGAAAAAAAGAAAATTTAAATTTTTGCTCTTTCAACATCTTAGAAAAAAACCCCTTTGGAAAAAGGGATTTTATTCTTTTTACACAACAACAATTTAAATAAAAATCAAAGGCATAACAACAAATGGCTATAAACCCTTGTTAATATATGTTAACGACTTTGCTCTAAATTTACAAACAAAAAAAGGCAACAAAAAACATATACAATACGCTACAACATTTCAAAATCTTACTAACAGGCAGAAGAGAAAAAAACTGACAACAAAAGCAAGAAAAAAATTAGAATTAAACTCCTAACACAACCCAAAAATTGAAAAAAAAAAAAAAATATTCACACACTTTAATACAAAAATGTATAAATAAAATTGTAAAATCCCAGCCACAATACACAAAACACTAACAAAATAAAAGCCAAAGACCTGGCACCAGTTTAAGAGAAGTGGTGGATTTTTAATAAGATAAAAATACTGAAAAAATCCAAACAAACGAACAAACAATGTGTGTCATCGATTTACAAGCTGGCAAGTGTAGCCGGCCTAACAGTTATAACGCCAAATCGACAGACAGACACATACCCACCAAATTTGTTTATGAACGTGAAACATCCCTTAGAAGCTTAAAGAAGAGCAAAATTCTAATAGTGCTGACATACGCACAATGTGACAAAAACAACAACAACAGTAACACAAATAATAGAAAAATCGAAAATGTCCAAATAAACATTTGTAGGCTCTGTTTTGGTTTAGCTTTTTCTGTCGGTCTGTCTGTCTGTATGTGTGTGTATGAGTTTTTCAAGTCTATTTAACAAAAGAAAACCTAGAAAAGAGTATTTGAAAATATATCTAGAAACAAAACTGTTCACAACATGTCAAATTTTGTGTCTATTTTTTTTCCTCCTTTTTTTTTTGTTAAATTTACACTGAAATGCTTTTTAAGCAACTAAAAATAGGCTTTAAATTTTTTTGTTAAGGTTTGAAAAAACGTATGGAAAGATATTTAGCAAAAATGCGTAGTAGACAGTGTATGATTTTAGCCGCAAAAAATCGATGTTAGATAAATATTAGAAAAAAGGTAGAAGAATACAATTTGTAGGGAATTAAGGTTTTTTAATAAGTCTGTAATGAAAGGAAAAAGCCTAAAAGTAGACTATAGTATATAGTATATTATAAGCTTTACATGCTAAAGCTTAATGAGTTTCTTATACTATAAAATTGATTAAGTAAAATTGAAAACTTTTTTTAAATCTTAAATATGGAAAGCAAACTTTATATATCTTTATCTTAAAATTCTTTACTCAAGGTTTTTTGCCTCATTGACACGCCCTCTACTTTTCGAAATCTTTTAATACCCTTAGCTTCTCTCTTTAATAAACATTTTCATATTAAATCAACAGTGCTCACGTTAAAGTAGGGTAACAATAATAATACAAAAAAAATCTCTGTTCTTAATAGCTAATAATTTTAGATGTAAGTACCTTGTTTATTGTTAACACATACACTCATAAAATCCACTAAATATCTACACTAAACAATGGCAAAAACTTAATAAACACAAAACATAATATTAGCATACATATGTGTATGTATGTGGGTTTATATATACGAAATAAAATACATACATATAAAATGCAAAAAAGTGGGAAGTATAACCCTTAAGCGAACTCGCCCGCATAGTAAAAAATCTAAACAGATTTTTGATGAAATATCAGAGCACAGGTCTAACCATTTTGTTAAAACAAACGTAATGATTTGTCTTGAACATTATCCACAGTTTTAAAAAGAAATCTAACTAAATCTTAAACTAAAGCATACTTTGAGGCCATAACCTTAATTTATGAATAAAAAGGCGCTTCTTTGTATTAAACACAAATAATTTCTTCTCACTTAATATTATACCCCAACATTTGCAAGTAAAAATAGTTTAAATTTATTTTCT